CSSYTYSRWTWWTGTCACTCAATTTTTGGCCAAAAAAATGGTTCCAATACCTATTCATTTATAAACTCGAATATTTATATTTCAAAAGTATAGGCCTTAGTCTAATAATGTTTTTAGCGCACTGGGTCAAATCGAAATGTTTACGCTGGTGGCCGTTATCAGAGCGAGCGCTTGTGCCACGGCTGGTGGTGCRAATCATACCCTCCCACCAGATCCAGTACAATAAGTGCTGGTCCATTTGGTGATGAGAAAATTATTTTCTTGAGTATACCTACTAGTAGACATAAAAAAGTATATGTATTTCTTATCAATTCCAAACAAAATGCCACTTTGTCGACCATAATTCCCGGTTGAAGTATTCAGGTTATCCAGGTATYAAGCCTTCAACAAATAAAAAAATATATATATAGACTAAACGACCTATATTTGCAAATATAAAGTGCAATTTTTATTGATTAGGTAAAACCCATTAAGAAAAAAAAACAATTCTGTAACCAATATTTAATCTAAACTTCGTCTTTACGCCTATTAAAGTATTTAACTATTATGTGTTAGCAATACTAATAATGTATTATACCAGGGACGGAAAACTACTGTAAGACAGGTTACATTAGGAAATATGAAGTTCACAAATCGAACAAAATACAAAACTGAACATAAATTATACCATGAAAAAAAAATAACTCTGTTATCGAAAAATTGATAATCTTGACATCTAACGAGAAAAACTTTTTGATTTTTAGGTATATTTTATGTAATTGTTTGTTAAACTTCTGAGTTCAGGATTATTTTTATTTTTACTTTAAAACTAGTGCTTCAATTTACTGATGCACTTTGAAAATTCAAAGGTATTTTAATTCTTAATCTTCATATGAGTAATTAATAATTAGGTATTTTTAATTTTTAATTTTTAAGTACCTACCTACCTATATATATATTGCGTGTTTAGATACTATTATGAAAACTTAAAAAAAAAAACAAAATTATCAAAAATGTTATTATTTTGTAAACGATATAAACAAATAACATTTTAAAAAATTAATCAAAAATGCCGTCTACAAACGTCAAACCAAAATTATATTTTTAAATCGATAAACTAAAACGAAAACAAAAAATTAAAAAAGTTTTCCAACCCTGTGTTTTTCAATAGCATATCACTTAATCATATATAATGGTGCTCATAAAAAACCTTTACTGAATAATTATTATGATAATATAAACACTTCAGATTCATAAACACGTAAGTCTGGTGGAAATTGTATATGTGTAAAAAATCCAATTTACACGTAAGAGACAAATAAACAAATTGAATTTATTAATTTTAGCTTTTAAGCCAATGACCAAATACCTAATACATAATATTTCATYCTTATTCCAAAATGTATTAGGGCCTTATCAGAAAATAAATTTAACTATATTGCATTAAAAAGGGTTAATTGAAATATAGGTAAATACCTAAAAAGAGTAAAAAGAGAGAAATATTTTAGATTCAATTGCTTATGTAATTTTTAAAGTGTCAATGTGTCATAAATCATTATATTTATAGATAAGTTATCAATTATAATMATGTCTTGTTAATAAAAAACTATAATTCCATATTATCGGTTGTAACCCACCTATACCTAATAATTTGGATTTGGTTGATAAATGTAGGTACTACAGTTGTTATAATATATTTTTCAATAAGTCCAATATCCATAMCTCAGAATAACAAATAATCAATTTTAAAGAAAGTCGCTCTGCTATTACAAATGTAGGTGTCGAATGTACTTGTACATTGAGTAAGTGACTGTAATATATTATGTATAATTTAGTATTAATCATGTACCATTGTAAATATCAATAGATGTAGATAGCCAAGGCTAGGAACATCTAATCTTATCTTTAAAAAAAGAGTATAAATCATAGTACATGAAAAATGATTCTGAGTGGAGACTATCTATCAGCCTATATMATATAGTACTAGGTAACTAGGTACACATTTATATATTGCTATTAAAGTTTTACTATTTTACTACTAGTAATGGCGTATGTTAAATTATGTTTTGTCAATAACTTTGAATTTTAAAATGTYATAATATAATATAGTAATAATTAATATAATATGTTAAAAATGATAACGAGTCATATTTTTTAAATAAAACTAAATCGATATTCTTTGTTTAAATTATTTTGTCCAAATTTTAAATTAAAATGTTTATCTTAGGTTTATTTGTTACAGTACGAACTGCTTATGAGTTATGGATTATGATTAACCTTGTATTCAATTTTCAAGCTCTTTAACTCAGTGAAAAATGTTTTAGTGACATTTGTACAAAAATATACCTACCAAACTAAAAAATTGAAAATTAAAAATGTTCTACTGTTCCAAAAATATAAGAATAGACACTAAAATAAAAATAATTGCAAATCTATCTGAAATATTTCTAAAAGGATTTATCCTTAAGACTTTAAAGTAGTATCGTAAAACGTTTTATACTTATACATATATATGTATATATATATATAGTTGGTTATTTGTTAAATAAAATTTAATTTGTGATTAATTCTCTGATATTCCACGTGTTGAATGATGTGRAAGCACGAAACCATCATGCGTTTATAATTTTATATATGAGCTCATTCACTTTTTTTAGAATTCATTAGATTAATAATTATTAATTATGTGTATTTTTATTATCTTTACTGTACTTTAAATTATAATGCAATAACTGAATAAAACAATTCTCTGAAAATAATTTTTCAAAATTAACTTTATTGCCACTATTAATATACCTATAGATAGAAACAAAAGTTTAGTATTTAAACTTGAACAACTTTCATTACAATTTACATTGAAATTATTTGTCTTTACGAATGTTATGTAACAATATTAATTCAAACCATCTTCATAATGTTAAAATGTAATACGCCAGTCAGTGTTTGAATAAATACAAATAATAATTTTACTTTTTATTTTGATAAATAAAAAATGAACTAAGATTTAAAATATTATTTTTTTAAACTCAATCTTGAATATTAAAATAACTAAAATAATTAATATTTAATTTTTTGAATTAAATACAAAGTAGGTTTTAAATTAACAAGATTGGTTTATTATTRTAGAAACTATGGTTTAATTTATTTTCAATTGTTCGTAAAATAATTAAAKTTTAGTTTAATGATCTATTATAATATAGTTGACAATTTATCATACTCGTATAATAACGGATCACATTTATAGAAAAATAAATGTAATTGTAAATAGGAAGTCACCTATTGTACATTTTTTATTATGCTTAATATGACTGAAGATATAGATAATTTCTTATGAATTCAATCAAATAATTGTTYAATATCTATTCAAAATAGTGGATGTACCTATTACTAACATTTTAATAGTTACGCAGGTGCAGGATATTTTTCTGTAAACGTCGAGCTTAAGTAATAATAACTTCTCATTAAAAGTTTATAAATAATAATAGAAATAATATATATA